TCATGAGCCACAGATACAAATCCAATCACAAATACAGACACAATCAATTTCATCACAATCAAATTTTGAAATATCTGCTACCTCGATAAAATTGCCCAATTAGTGGCTAGACCATCCAGAAGTATGGTTTATACATGCTGAAACTCAATTCGCTTCAAAAGGTATTAGTTTGGACAATACCAAGTATGAATATTTAATAATTTCATTGTCGCAAGAAGTTATTTTGACTGTACTTGATATAATTCAAAATCCACTTGTAAATATAAGTATGAGTATTTGGAACGTATTTTGATTGAACGTAATTCTTTAAGTGAGCGTAAAAGACTTGATAAAATCATGTATGATACTGAGATGGGTGATATGAAGCCTTCAGAATTATATCGATCATTACTACTTCTTGCGAATTCAAATTTCAGTACAGACCTTATTAAGAAGTTATGGTTAAGAAAACCACCTAAAAACTTAAATTTTGCACTTGTCTCATCTAATACCAGTGATATAACAAATTTAGTTAAATTAGCAGATGATTTATGGGAGGTCAGTAAGAGAGATGAAGTTTGTTCTATCAGTTCGAGAAATCTTAATAATGTTAATGTTGAACAAGATATTGGCAATCTCCTTAAGGTAACATCTATTATGTGTGAAAGTTTTTCCAAATTATCAGCAGAAGTGTGCTCGATGCATAAAGCTTTTGATTGACCATCGTTTTCGAGACAATCACGATAATTTAATCGGGATCATTCACAAGGTAGATCAACATCACCTAATTAATAATAATAATAATAGATTGGCGCTTACACATATGTTAGTTTAGCCGAGCTTCTCCTCCGACTTGTGGCGTGCGCCTTGATGTTGTCACACAAAGCGGAGGGACCTACAGTTTTACGCCGACTCCGAACGGCGATTGTATCTTTATGAGAAGCTGTTTTTCATGGCAGAAATACACTCGGAGGTTTGCCATTGCCTGCCGAGGGACGACCGCTGTTAAGGAAAAACCTTTTTCTATATTTTTTGCGATGTTGCTTTGACCAGGGTTTGAACCCAGGTGCTGCGGAGTGGAAGCGCGCACTGCTTACCACTGCACCACAGCGGCCTCACCTAATTGGTTATGTAGATATCATTACCGCTTTGGAAGCAGGGCACGTAAATGTGAACAACCTTGTTCGTATAAATCGAAGGGAAACTAAAACTACCCATTGTCTCGTCGCCTCTTCATCTATGATAAGGATAATTTGACAATTTGAAATCTCTTATTGTTAGTGGAGCAGAAATAACTGTTTTACCATCTTCAAAATTTAAAGAATTTAGAAAATCTTCTGATTTATTTTTAACTGCTGTAAACGGAAGTAGCATCAAAACTTTTGGTTAAAAGTTGCTAGATGTAAATTCTTGTTTGAGAAAGGAGTTTCCTTTTGTTTTTGTTATAGCTGATATTGCAAAACCAATAATAGGAGCTGATTTTTTAATGAAATTTGGGCTTTTAATTGACTTAAAAAATAAGAGTCTTATTGATCCTTTAACAAATATTTCAGTTAATACAATTTCTGGTTATAGAAAAATATCATTTCCAAAATTGTTTCCATTTGATGACAAATACACAAATTTACTCAGATCTTTTCCTTGTTTACTATCAGAACCTGATTACGCTAGGTCTGTGAAACATTCAACAGTTCATCGAATTGTTTGTAATGGCGAATTACCATTTGCAAAACCGCGCCGTTTAGATCTAATTAAATTTAAGATAGCGAAAACAGAGTTCGATTTTTTAGTTAAGTCTGGTATCTGCCGTCCATATGCATCTCATGTGGCTTCTTCATTACATCATGATATTTGAAGTGTAAACATATGCGTACGGCAAAGCATAAAAGTACGTTTATATATAAATACATATGAACTCAATAAAAGCTCGTTAGTTGCTAAAATGGTTGTGCTTGTTATTCTCACAACTCGAGGAAAAGTTAAGCTTTTTCTCTCTGCCACCGTAGTCGCTTTTTTCTGCTACACGTATTATGATATTTAAATATATTTTAACTGAATATTTTATTAAAGATACCTTTACAAACCTATTTTCCTTACTAGCTTCAATTTTTGTTTACTTTAACATTTGACATTCCTCCTCTTCTTCGCAAGTATAATCGATAAAACTAGGTTGGACACCAAAAAGTTATCGGTTTAATCTGAGATATTTTTAATTATAATTTTGCATGGCTAATCTCTTTTTCTAATAACAGATTAGGGAGTTAAGCTCGAAAANACAATTTCTGGTTATAGAAAAATATCATTTCCAAAATTGTTTCCATTTGATGACAAATACACAAATTTACTCAGATCTTTTCCTTGTTTACTATCAGAACCTGATTACGCTTAGTCTGTGAAACATTCAACAGTTCATCGAATTGTTTGTAATGGCGAATTACTATTTGCAAAACCGCGCCGTTTAGATCCAATTAAATTTCAGATAGCGAAAACAGAGTTCGATTTTTTAGTTAAGTCTGGTATCTGCCGTCCATATGCATCTCATGTGGCTTCTTCATTACATCATGATATTTGAAGTGTAAACATATGCGTACGGCAAAGCATAAAAGTACGTTTATATATAAATACATATGAACTCAATAAAAGCTCGTTAGTTGCTAAAATGGTTGTGCTTGTTATTCTCACAACTCGAGGAAAAGTTAAGCTTTTTCTCTCTGCCACCGTAGTCACTTTTTTCTGCTACACGTATTATGATATTTAAATATATTTTAACTGAATATTTTATTAAAAATACTTTTACAAACTTTTCCTTTTTGGTTGTTGTTGTTTCCGACAGGGTGGGTGTATGATGTATTATGGAACGAATTTCCGTCATCCCTTGTCAAATTTGGTTTGGAGACAAACCGGTTTCGAAACGAAAAATGACACTGAAGATGGCACAACGCCGAAACCGGTTTGTCTCCAAACCAAATTTGACAAGGGATGACGGAAATTCGTTCCATAATACATCATATTTACAAACCTATTTTCCTTACTAGCTTCAATTTTTGTTTAATTTAACATTTGACATTCCTCCTCTTCTTCGCAAGTATAATCGATAAAACTAGGTTGGACACCAAAAAGTTATCGGTTTAATCTGAGATATTGTTTGTTGTAGGAGAATTAAAATAATACACGTTTTAATTTACTTAAATTATAGTTTTATTCCCGAAAAATTAGCTTAATAAAACGTGAACGACGTCGGTAGAAGTTTCTAGAAGAATAACGTTTTTTAATAACTAGGTCAGAGAAGTATATGCAAATAATGTAAATGAAACAAGTGAACTAGAACATAGAAAATACTAAAAATACTAGGGAGTTTAGCTCGGAAATGAGGATTATCTACTTATACGTATGTAAACCCATCATTAGGCAATTCAGTTACATACATACATATTTAGGTTAGGTTAGGAATTAAACATTAATTTCACTTAATTTTATTCATTTTGCTGATTAAAATTCTTTTATTCGTTTTCATTTTTAATAGTTTTAATACATGAAATAATCGGTGTGATTGACAAAATATGATACTTGTAAAATATCTTGAAAACACCGCATCAATTACTGTTTTTGAGCTAGTAGTTTGAGCATTTCTATTTGTATATATTTCTAAATTTAGTTTTTCTTTTAGGAGTATAATCTGTGGTTCGGCGTCATCTGTCCATAGGTTTACCTTAAAGTCATGAATATGTACGTTATATGTATCTTTCGTTTGCAAAATGGGAAGCTAAATTGATTTGTTCGGCATTTCCTCTTACTCATGTTTTTACACGAACTTGCAGGAAGTTACAGGAAAAATGATCCCATATTCCAAAATCCTGTAAATGAGAGCGATTTTTGAGAGTGGCGTAGAGAATGAAGTTGCAAGATTTTACCCGATGTTTTTTTTTGTTACCGTCCTTTTTGCTATTACTCACTTTTTATTCTTACTTCAGAGAGTAATTTTGCTGTTTGACATTTTTACAGGATTTTACACGAAAAGTATTGGATTAGAGCTATTATATCATCCATACATAGGTATATATACCTACTTAAATGACCCAGTTAAAATGATTTTAGTATTTTTTAAATTTTCCTTGCTTTTTTATCGGTAGTTAGTGAAGCCAAGGTCTCAAAGTACTTACGTACGCGGTGCTTCGTTAGGTGAAACTAACTAAATACTTTTAGACAAAGTATTTAGCATACTTGCTATTTAGCAACATCCAAAATACTAAAGTAAATAGTACTTTGCTACTTATCACAACACAAATACCTAAATACTTTTGTACTTAGTACGTAATACTTAGTTAGGGTACTCACAGTTTACTTCTAAAGTTAAAAGGTGGCAACTTTAACAAGATAACACACTCGAACTGTGAGCAACCCTTATGTTTAAATAAAGTATTAAGTTGATCAACAATACCACGCATTGCTAGACCGTTTGCCTTTCACGCGTTTGTGTTTAGAGAGCATCAACAAACCACATACATATTTCTCTCTATTCTCTCTTCTCTTTTTTATACTCAGCTAGCACAGCGAAAAAAAAAAAAAAAAATAACCTTTGCCAGCTCCAGGCAGGCGCAAAGAGAAACTTATGTACAAGCAGCGCTGCGCCCAAAGCGAAATTCATGTATGTATGTACAAGCAGCGATAGATGCCAGTTTAACACAGAACATAAACATGAGACAAAGTCTAGTAATTTTGCCCAAAAGTGTTATCTCTAATTAGTATGGGAACCAACAACAAACAAAGTTACCACATGGTAAAATGTTTTAAAGTTACCAGGTGGCAAAATTAACACAGTAGATAATATAGAACTGTGAGTACCCTAAGTAAATACAATTTTGCCCATCACAATTCTGAATGCAGGTTTTATTAGCAAAGGCACTTTAATATTATTTTTTCAGATAAGGTGGCCTTCGATTTGTATTTGCGATATTTGTTAAATTTTCAATCTGAGTTCGAATACATTAAAGGTTTAGTTTGTTATATTACGATTTATTCAGTTTCAGGCAAACAAGATCGAAAGCATACATTTTCAAGGAAGGCTGACAAACTCTGACGACGAGTCCAAAGTAGAATACGATGGGAATATGAAGCTCAAAACCTCGGCACACCCAAATTTAAACTTTGCCTCAAATGTTACATGGCGATCATTGCAAGGTCATACCGAAGGTATTATAGCCTTTAACAGTGGTCGGAATGTCGGTGATTCGGGAGCCACGAATATATTACATTTAGTGTTGTCCCGCTTCCACTCAGAAGAAAAGATTTGGGACGATTCACGTTTGTATGCAAGCTTGGATGTTAAGTTACCACGCAATAACATTGATTACAAACTGTTTTTAAAGTAAGTTTATTTTATATAACTGTATGTTAATATTGATCTAATGTCAATTTTGTTTTAAGGCATGAAGAACGGTATAAAAATGGAAGCGAGCATAACGTAATACTTGGAGGTCAAATTATTCCAGGAAAAGAAGCGTCAATTCTTTTTTCTATATTGATACCGCGGCATTCTTTAATTGCCTTTGATGTATTTTTTAATGTCACAGTAACGAATTTCAACTCCTGCTCAGGACGACTAAAGTTTGTAGAAAAACTTCCCAAAACTTATTTGGTGAGTATTTAAAATGTTACATATGTATGCACATATGACCAATAACTATTGCTTATTCCACTCAGTGGAACATAAACAACTCAGAATTATTATTGTTTATAAATATGTATACTTGCATTGTTACATAATTGCTTTCTGCAATTAACGCGGGAAAGTTAAAGGTATATTTCTTTTTGATAACATATTTTAAACCAATTGTGGGGGGAAACCAATTAACCGCGTTGAGTTACACAAGGAAATTTACTTGTAATTTTTATGCAATAGTTTTTGACGGAGCAGGTGATTAAAGTAAGCGAGGATTACTGCACTTTTAATTTTAGTATGTAGTTTAAAAGAAATGGGAATTAGTGCTTTCATTTTGTTTTAAGCAAGGAAAGGTTCGTTCTGCAATTGAAGTGGGTTTAGGTAACGTATGTAGCTGTATATATGTATGTATGTAATAATACTATATTTTATTTTTATTTATTTATTGATTTCAACGCAACAGCCATTAGCTATATTTCAGCGCCGTTATTGGGTATAAGTACGGTGACCATCCGTCCTTTATTTCAAAGGACAGCCCTTTTTTTAACTCCCTGTCCTTTATAATTTTTTTAAAAATAAAGGACGCCTTTTGTCCTTTATTTCTTAAACTGTCCTTTAAATCGGCTCTGCATTTATCAGAGGTAAACTTTTAAACGCGGAATATGAAAAATAAAAATGTCCCTGATAAAATATAATGAAAACTGTCGCCAGTTTCTTTCGCATCCCTCTTAGGGTTTCTATTTAATTACAATCTATAAATCTATAAAGGGAAAGTTGTGCCCAGGACCGTGTTGCACGCTGAGTTTCCAGTTCCATTGAAAGAGAACAATAAACCCCCTGCTGCACAGTGGTTCAAAACTGGCATTTAGTGTTCGTAATTCATTGGAGCCTGATTTCTGTATTTTTATTTGATTACATTAAATTGTTTTGTGCAAAATGCTGTTCCAGTTAATAAATGTTACAAAACAAAAACTAGTTGAAAACAAAAAGAAAGATACACAAAAAAAAATTTTTAAATGTTATAAAAAATGTTCACCAAAATTCTTTTTTTCGTTTTGCTTTTTAGTAAAAAAATTGGTTGAAAAATTAAGGCTCCGGTGCATTATGAACATTAAATTCCAATTTTGAACCACTGTGTGCTGGCTTCGTCGTGCATTATGAATTATGGTAAACGCATTTTGGTAGCAAAGGATGGCGAAGTCCTTGAAAAGGATTTGGCTTAATTTTTCGCTGTAGCAGGGGAACTTGTACAATTAAATAATATAGTTAACTGGTAAATATTTGATTTAAATTACGACATGGGTAAGGCCCTCTTATCATACAAGTTGCATGTACGTATTCCCATTTTGAAAAAAGTCCTTTATTTTACGTTGGTTAATATGGTCACCGTATGTATTAGCAACTACAGAATAGAAAACTTATGTAGATATAGTAAAATTACATATATATTCTTAGATGAAAGAAGCAAAGGAAGGAATAATATAGATAATTAGGAGAGGTCAGGAGACAGGTCGTTAGACATAAAATTTGTAAAGCTCGCATTTAAAACGCACGGTGTTTGTAATTAGTCTTAATGCCGATGGATAGCTATTCCAAAGACGGATAGTGTAGATAAAGAATTGTCGCTCGGATATTGAAGAGTTAAATTTTGAATATAACAGCTGGGGTGATCTAGCTGACCGGGTATATTGTAGTCTGTGTTTCAGGTACGGGGCTCATTGTTAGTTGGAATTTTGTGCAGCATTGCGCGATATTTTACTTTTAACAGACTATTAAGTGAAATAGAAAACATTTTTGTGGCATAGTGCGAGATATGGTCACACCGTCCGTGCTAGTTCATTCAAAGTACATTCCACAACAACAGAGTAGAGCTGGAAAACTATCGATGGCACTGTCGATAGTATCGATGGTTTTCGACTATCGAAAACATCGATGGTTTTGTAAGCACTATCGATAGTTTCCACTCATACATACATTATTCAGTAAGAGTAAAAGCCGGCGGTACCTTTTTCATCTTGTGAGTCGGAAGGGACATTTAGCAAAGCAGGGCAAATAATTTCCGAGCGCAGATGCTGCTTAAAGAAAACAAGCGTTGATAAAATTTTGTCCCTTAACAAAAATAAGGACATATTTTAGCAATTCTGATCTCATTTTCAATAAAAGTTATTATGTCTAATTTTTGGACTTTTTTAATCAAAAATATCGACTAGTTTTATTCGGAAATATTGTACAAAAGCTATTTCTCAACACAGCTGGGCTGAATTGCGTTCAATACCAGGAAAAAGTAAGTACGGATTGCAGCAATAAAAATGTGGTTTTTGTTTTGCGCTAAGGGCAAGAATTCTAGGAATTTCCTTGGCCCAAAGTAGCCACCAGCTACGAGGAAACCGCATTTCATTTTGCGTACAAAGTTGCCACCCATCCCCTTTGTCGTATGTACGAGGAAAAGAAGAGTAGGGCTGCCTTGGGTTCGGACACCAATTGTATCCCATTTGGGTGCCATCTCCTATAGGGTAAGTCTCTCTGGCACATCTCACAATTCGGCGTAGTTTCTTAGTATTCGTGTTTGTTGGTGTATCCCTGTGTAGATTTGGCACGCAATTAGCGCTCCAAAGCTAACGAAAAATCCACACCGAGCCCACTCATGGGCTACCAACAGAGTGCTAAATTGGAAATACCGCGATTGGCAAAAAGCTGCCCTTCTTTGCTTCCCCTGCGCCGTAGTGCTGGTGTCAGTGGGCCAGCAATCGTCCACGGATGCTCGTATAGTGGTGCTAATAACCGCCCCCACACTTGGTGCGTTTGTCTGCCGCTTCACTAACTCTCCCCCCAAGGGAAAATATAATTAAATTGGAAAATTGGGAAAATATAACCAGCGATACTCATTATTGAGGCCTTCAGCCGTTTAAGAATAATTGACTAGTTTTGTGCTCAGAGTGACGGGAGCTGCGTGGCAGAACTAAATTACCACATAAGTACATATATGTATGAAAGTTAGAAAAAATAAGAACTTCGGTTTTAGTTAAGCACACAAAGAGTTCTGAATGCACGAACAATGCGTTACACGCGTCTAAATTTGTTCTACAAAAAAAGGGGGAGAATAATTCTGCATGCAGTCAACCAAAAATATCCCGAAATTATATAAGTCATCGAGCTCACATCCGTGAGCCCTAAAAAGTTAAAGTTGGGGGCCGCACGGCGGCCCCGAGTTGTCCTTCCTAAAATAAAAGACAATAATTAGTTTTGTACAAGTATATTTACCATCTGCTTCTGCTGTCCCAAACGGAATGAATGCAACATATTTCTTAATACTATGACTTACTGTCTAACCGGCTGAATTAACTGCTGACGCTGCGCTTCCCATAGATTCAATTATGCTAACGTATGTTCGATTATTTTTGCATGAGAGTTCAATTACCCGCACTGGTTATGCGCGTGTTTGGGGAAGTGCGGCGTCAGCACATTCACACAGGTATGTGTGTTAGCCCCCGTATTAACTANGTTTTGAAATGTCAGTAAGGCATAGCAGTGAAGACTTAACAAGTGCCGATGACGCCCAAGCCCATTGCTTTATTTGCACCAATGTTATAGAGCACCAAGCTCAACTGATTAAAACCATTTGCGACCATACCTTCCATAGAGTTTTCTTTAATACCAAAGTAGGGACCAATCCCACTAAAGTTGGCCCAGTTTGCAAAAAGGTATTGCACGCTTTAACGTCGAACTTACTGGACGTCCCTCCTCCAAGCCAGTCCACTAGCGCACCCTCGCACACTCCGTCTAAGATACATAATACCAGATCTCAAACCAAGCGCACCCTAACTCCTAAGGAACTGGCTATGGCTCCCGCTGGTGAAGATAGTAATAGTGTTCCCCCCGGATGCACCGATTCAGCAGCCCGTGATACACAGGGTAGCGGAGGTATGTAAAAGGCAATAGAAGATGCCTTAATTGCTGCTACTGCTAGGCAAACCGAGCTTCTGACTCGAACACTAGAAACTGGATTCGATAGGCTTTCGGTTCGATTATCCTCTCGTGTTTCATGAGAGAAGGGAGCATCCAATGTTGGGATGCAGACACTACCGGAAGTGGAGCACCAAACTTTCCAACAAATTTTGGGATTACCCCCGCGTGCAACAGATCCTACTTTGAATCTGGCTGGAGGAGCTATTACAAGGAATTTGCCTTTGGAGATACAAAACAACCTTACAGAATTGCGCCCGGATCGCATTAGCCAGATTATTTCGAATTGGAAACTTTCAGGCAGGTCCTCGTTGTCGGTTGATGATTTTATTTACCGCATCGAGGCCCTGACAAAACAGACGCTCGACGGAAACTTCGACTTGCTGGCTAGAAATGCCAGTAATATTTTTGAAGGCAGCGCCAGTGAATGGGTTTGGCGTTACCATAAAAGTGTTTCTGTTGTGGAATGGAATGGTTTGCGTAGTGCGCTAAGAGGCCATTATAAAGATGATCGGACTGATCATAGCATTCGAAACGAGATGCTGCAACGTAAACAGAAACAAGGAGAATCGTTTGACCATTTTTATGAAGCCATTCTAGTCCTCAACGATAGGCTTTCGAGACCATTGTCGGAATATTCACTCTTAGAAATCCTACGGTCGAATTTGCTGCCTGAAATCCAGCGGGAAATTCTTTACGAGCCTTCTAAGTCCTTTGCTGAGTTGCGTCATCTTGTACGCACACGAGAAATATTTTTGCAGACTTTGCCTAAACGCCAGGTATCGCCGCATCGAGGTCTAGGCCGTAGACGCGTCAATGAAGTTGAGATTCCTTCCCCAGAAGCACTAGCAAGCGAGGCCAGTGATGAAGAAGATCATGAGTTATCTGCAGTGTTCATAGAATGTTGGAATTTCGGAGGACAAGGGCATCTGTACCAAGATTGTATAGCCGAACGCCGTGTATTTTGCTACGGTTGCGGACAACCAAATACTTATAGGCCCACCTGCAGCAAA